ACTCGAACTGCCACCTCAACTGGAACTGCATTCACTCGCTGCGACTCTGCTTATATGGACGCCGACCAAAACCGGGGTGGGCTTGTCGGGGTTTGAGGTTCCTTGATAATTCTATATCCACAATCCACTTCTTTGTTTTCGGTCAGGAAAATTTATTATTTTCCATTTTTGGAAGTCTTTCGTCCTCCCACCTTCTTCTGTTCTCATATTGGTATCTCACCATACCCTCAGAGGGTGTCAACGGGTTTCCCCTCTCTCTCACAGTGGCATCTCATACCGATTCCTTCAGGGGGTTGTCAAAAGACCTCCCCTCCTTCTTCACATGATTACCTTCGCCTGCCACTCACGCCAGCATTCAGCCAATGGGCGTCCAACAGTGTGGGTGTGGCCAGACTGGCCTCGGTTTAAAAAAATCTTGCTCAAAGAAAAAAATCATCTTCCTTTTTCTTTTCTTCCATTCTTTCCTTTCTTCTGCCCGACAACAAGTCCTTAGATTCTTATCTTAACCGAATTTCATATGGAATTTGTCACTCGGGACCTTCGCCAAACAAGTGGGTGGTCAATTGTACGTATCGCACCTTGGTGCCAATTATTCATTCTGATAAAATAAATTTGGTATCATAGCCAGCCCTGACAATAAACAGGTGTTTTTCCCAAATGACATGGAGGTTGTTCAACGAACATTTTGATTTCGGTCAAGCTTGACTTAATTAATTTTTATCTCCCAGCACTCTGCGGGAGGTCGCTTGTCCAACTTGAAATTTTTACCACTGCCATGGGCAGATTGGGTATATCTTATTCGGTGCGTCGTCATAAATTCAATTAAATCCGACACATCCGCGACCTTACTTTCCTCGCTAATGAGAATAAAACCTTTAGCATTTTTCTTTGTTAAAAAGAATTACATCGCTTAGTGTCCTTTTCGTGATGGCTTCTTATCACCTAAATTTAATTCTCGCCTTTCTTTTTTTTCTTCTTTCTTTCTAGCAACTTAAATAGTGTCACAGAGTCATACCTTTACCACAGATATTTTCGCCTAAGTAAATAACATGAACGAAACTGGAATCAGTGCTTGGCTCTCTGATTAAAAATTCCGAGTAGCTATCTTTTACACCACCCGCACATCCAAGCTTACACCACCGAGTAGGCCTAACCGGTCATTCATCTAGCTACTGGCTCGACGTTGCTTACTTTGTTGATCGTACGGGAACCGGCGCTTAAACGTGATATGGAAGTAAGCCTTAAACCGTTATTTTAAGCCGATTAAATAGCTATATAGGGGCCGTAGCGAGCATCTTTTCTATGCTAATATTTCTCTTCTATTCAGGCCAGTTGACAAAAATAAATAAATATACAGCGAAATATATAAAGGGAGCGTTTCGTCAAATATGCGTACCAGAAGGAATCGAGACATAACATGACTCACAACACTATTTACATTATTCGGACTATTGTTCTCATATTTGCCGCCATATTTATTACAATATTTCGGCCTTTCAGAATCTGTCTATATTTCTGAGATGAGATATTATGTACACTATTTACATTATTCGAACTAATTTTCTCATCTTTGTCGCCATATTTATTACGTTTCGACCCTTCAGTGTCTGTATTTTTTAGATGAGGTATTAGACTATTTACTTTATTCGGACAATTCTCCTCATCTCTGTCGCCATATTTATTACAACGTTTCGGCCTTTCAGTATCTGTCTATATTTCTGAGATGAGGTATTATGTACACTATTTAAATTATTCGAACTATTGTCCTCAGCTTTGTTGCCATATTTATTACAGCATTTCGGCCTTTCAGTATGTGTCTATATTTCTGAGATGAGGTATTATGTACAC